CCCCCCCCCCCCCCCCCCCCCAATCCTTTTTATGAGAAAGCATAACCTGAAAAAAACGTGCAAGTCATTTTGGTAGGAAAAGTCCATCATGAAACAAAGCACTTTGTAGCAAAGCAGAAATCCCAACACCCAGGCACTGGGAAGGGTGACAAGACGCATGGCCTTGGGCTGGGCGAGGAGGGAAGAGGAGAGCTGCGGGTGGCATTCGCCACTACGGGGGACAGCAAAAACCCTGCGCTAACGAGATGGCACCAAGGATGGGAGAAGCGTGGCGGGTCCATCTGCTATTTGGTGGAGAAAAGCAACCCAGCATTGCTTTGGCCAGGGAGATCCACGTACCCAGAGGGTGGAAACACCCAAGAGGAAGGAGAAAACCCAGGTGGGAGCCTTCGAGGCTGCAGGATCAGCCCAATGGGGGTTCAGGGGTGATGGGAAAGCCCCCGTTGCTGAGGATCATGCTAGATGCCCCATCCTTGGAGCTGAAATTTTGCCACGCTCTTGCCGCCATCTGGTTCCTCAGCCAAAGGTGGTTGTTTTACCTTCAACTGTACCAGAATCAATCACGGTGTAAGACCCACGTGGGACGTGCGCCCAGATCCTTCCCCAGATTGTCACGCACTTCGTTTTCCTCCTAACTGTAAATATGAAAACAGGGCTATTTGTATCTTTGACATTAATTGACTTCTCAAATTAATAACTCTTCTGTGTAACTAGGAATGCAATTATTGCTTTGTTGTGCTGATAGCAGATATCCAGCCGGAAGGAATCGTTCCTACCAGCAAACTCGATTGTACTAATTAAGCCGTACGAGCCTAACAGGAGGCGGGTCATGGTAACCTGTCCCTGGAGGTGCCTCCTCCATTATTATCAACCGATGCTGCTGCAAAACCAGAACCGATCGCATGCCCGTGTGCGCACGCTCCTAACTCCAAGGCAGGAGCCATGAGTGGCTGATTGCAGCGGTGGGACGGGGGGGTACCTGGTTGCTGCGAAATGTCTCCGCCTTGGCTCAGACATGGGCCCTGCTGGCCAAGAGCTGGAGCCAGGAGGCTGCGCATGACGCTCTCTTCTCCCCACGTGTGAGGACAACCCACCCCGCTTTCCATACCCATATTTTTGTCTGCTTAGAACAAGAAACCTTTGAGAGAAGAGGTTTTTTCTAATGCTAGCAGCCCTCATACCCATGCTCATACTCAAGAGCCCATGGCAGCGACTCTGCTTGGTTCAGAGCCATCGGCTCACCTTCTGCCTTGAACAAGACCGACCGAATGCAACACGGTGAGCAATGAGCCTCGCCGCTGCGGGATATGGCTGTGCTTGGAGTCCTGCTCATCAGTCCCTGCAGCATTTTGATGAGTACTGATCACGGGAGGCTGGGGACTGCCTCGGCATAGGGGTGCAGGCAGGGAGCCCCGTGCATCACCTTCACCCCACACCTGCAGTTGCAAGAGATGCATTTTCTCCTCCCGCGATTCTCCCCCTGTGCCAAACAGCCCCTCAACCGCTGGTGTGGAGGGGCATTGAAGACCTCGCTAGCAGCAACAATGCCACCCACTCAAGAAGAATGTCCCACTCAAGGAGAGCCTGTCCCCTATTACCCCCCATGTCTCCAGCCCAGGCATCTCTGCCCTGGCCTCTCCTGAGCTCTGCTCCACGCTGTTGGGGTGAGAGAGGCTTATGGCAGCTGCTTATGGGTTATGCGGATACAAGCAATGGAGTTGTATTGTTGAAAACATAAAAGAGTATGCAAAAAAAAAAAAAAAAAAGGGAATTTTCCCATAATAGACTTTTCACTCGGCGTGCTTTGCTCATTTTGTCCCCAAACAGATGGCTCCACCAGCTCGGTGCCAGGCCTCTTAATCCCCTCCAAAGCGCCAGCGAATCTCTGACCGAGGACTTGCTGCATGCAGCAAAACGCAGCAGACGGCCTGACGCGGGAGCAATTGGAGCCTCTCAATGCGTAACAACATCATCAAGGCAAGAGCAGCGTCGGGGAGCCATCGGAACCATCGGAGGGAGAGAACCGCGCCAGAGCCGGTCTCTGCTGCCCTGCGGGGATCAGGGGCTGTGTCCGGCTCCGACCATTGCATCCCCGGCTGGAGGAGAGCAGAGGCCATGGGCGTGAGCTAGAACAACCACCAAGCAGCGATAAACATGGGAGCAAGTGGAGTAACCACCAGAAACTGCAGCCAAAGCTGTTGAGTGCTTTTGGGTCACCTGGAGGAAACAACTTTGCACAGTGGGGAAGGTGAGAAGCTCTCAGTGGAGATCTGGAGCGGGACGCGTGGTGCCAGGAGCGGGGCGGCTGCCTTACCTGTACTGGGTGACGGCGGGGTTGGCCTTGGCAGAGCAGTGGAACTTGACTGTGTTATCCTCTAGCACCGGCTGCGGCTCCACGGACAAGTTCACCAGGGGTGGGTCTGCAAAGAGACAGCGACAAGCCCATGAGCAACCCAAATCCGTGGCACGGCATCCCCTTACCCGCTGCCTTCCAGGTTTCTGAGTCTGGAAAGCAAAATCTGGTGGTAAGAAACCATGGCGAAAGCCCTGAGACTCCTCGATGCGGTGATAGAACGTTTAGGGCTCTGTAAGACAGGCTCATGTCACACACGCTGCTCTTGTCTTGGAGGGCTTCAGTAAATAAGACAGAAAGGGGAGCCACGCGCACCATCTGATGTAGATTTTCACTTAAAAACCATTAACGCCGGCTCTGATTCCTGTTTAAGGAAATAAACTTGCCTGCTTTGAACAGCTCCCAGTTAATATCTCGCTGCGTAATGACGGTCTTTTGTCTACCCGCTAACTTGGAAGTGGCATTTCTGCTCTTTCATCAGCCTAATCATCTCTGCCAAGCCCTTATTGGTGTCACAGGCCCTTCAGTTCTTCTGACTGGTGCTCGCTTGCTCTTCTCCTTTTTACATGATAAGCATCTAAATGTTTTAGCGGCACACAGAACTTAGGAGAGAACCGATGAAAGCAAGCGAGAAGAGAAGAGGGAGCAATGTTTAGCTGGGGAATAAGAATATCCAGCATTGTTTTATTTTTTAGTGATGTCTGAGAGGGGGCGTTAGCCCTCTGGCTTTAGGTTTTAAGGGTGGGACCTCATTTGAGGGAAAAAAGCAGCAAGAAATGGCCTTGTGAGTTTTTCCTCCTGAAGAACCAGTTGTCCTGTTGGAGACTGTGTTGTGGCTGCGGAGGGGAGCAGGGACCGGCTCATCGATCCGGCTACGGGGCTCTCCTGCCCTTAGGGCAGGAGTCTGATGCAGCACATGCAAAAATACACCCCACAGTAGGATGTGCTGTGTGAACACCACTACCTGCTGCCTCCCTCCTCTTCCAAAACATCTCAGCAACACCCCTTCCCAGCTGGAGTGTGGGGAAAGGCTGCGGTTGAGCAGCCACCCTCCCGCTCAGCACCCAGGCAGCTGGGGCTGGGGGTCAGCCCTGCAGGCCTGAGGGGAGCGAAGATGGTTGGTACCTACTGGCCCAGGGGACCCCCCCTCAGCATCACGTGGGGGTGGGCACCCTGGACCCCAGCACTGGAGAAGGCGGTCAGCGTCGCAGGGCTGGAGGTGGCACAAGTGACACGGCTTAGGGGCTTAGGGACCTGGTTTAGTGCCTTAGGGACATGGCTTAGGGGCTTAGGGACATGGTTTCGTGCCTTAGGGACATGGTTTAGGGGCTTAGGGACATGGCTTAGGGGCTTAGGGACATGGTTTAGTGCCTTAGGGACATGGCTTAGGGGCTTAGGGACCTGGATTAGGGGCTTAGGGACATGGTTTAGTGCCTTAGGGACACGGTTTAGTGCCTTAGGGACATGGCTTTGGGGCTTAGGGATGTGGTTTAGTGCCTTAGGGACACAGCTTTGGGTTTTAGGGACCTGGTTTAGTGCCTTAGGGACATGGTTTAGGGGCTTAGGGACATGGTTTAGTGGTGGGTTTGGCAGTGCTAGGTTAATGGTTGGACTTGATGATCTTAAAGGTTTTTTCCAACCTAAACGATCCTATGATTCCATGATGCTCAATTTACTGCTCGGATGCTGTGAAGCCATGAAACCATGGCTCTAATGCAAGTTCAAGGAGTGCCATTGTGCTTAAGAGAAATGAAAGTTTCCCTGGCAGCTCCTCCCTCTACCAGCTTCCTCCACCAAACACAAATCAGGGTTGTGCCGGAGAGACCTGGCTCTCTGGAAACCGCTCAGCACCTTTGCTCGAGGGTACGGGCTCTAACAGGGCGCACTGATGCGAGAACAGCCCGACCGTCACCTCTCTTCATAGAATCATAGAATCGTCTGGAATGGAAAAGACTTTTAAGATCATCAAGTCCAACCGTTCTCCTAACCCCGCCATCCCACCACTA